ATTTTCACCTACCTTCTTCTCTTTCTGTTCTACCCATCTTCTCTTTTACTGGGGGGTCTTGATTTTAATTAGCTTTCATACTTTAATCCATATTCATACAGACATATTCTTTTAAAAATACCTTGGAAGATCAACAAAATTGACAAACCCTTAGCTAGACTAAGGGAAAAAAAAAGACTCAAACTGCTAAAAATGAGAAGACATCACAGCTGATGCCAGAGAAATAAGATTATCAGAGACTACGACAGTTATAGTCAATTACAATTCCTCCCAATAGGATAAACTAGAAGAAATGGATAAATACCTAGAAACATAACAACCTATCAAAACTGAATCATGAAGAAACAGATTGAAGTAGGAACCAAACACCTCCCCAAAAAGAAAAGCCTAGGATCAGATGATGTCATTGGAGAATCCTACCAAACATTTAAAGAAATAATAATCCTTCCCAATTCTTCTAAAGAATCAAATAGAAGGGAACATCCTCAAACTTATTCTATGAGGCCAGCATTATCCTGATACCATTACCAGGAAAAGACACTATAAGAAAACTATGAACCAATTTCCTTAAGGAATACTGATGCAAAAAGTCTTAAACAAAATGCTACCAAACCAAATTCAAGAGTACATTAAAATGATCATACACCATGACCAAATGAGATTCATCTTTGGGATCCAAGGATATATGTGAAAATTAATCAAGGTATTGTAACACATAAACAATGGACAAAAACCATTATGATCATCTCAATCAATGCAGGAAAAAGCGTTTGGCACGATTCAACAGCCTTTCATGATAAAAACACTTCATAAAGTAGGAAAAGAAGGAAATGACCTCAACATAACAAAAAGCTGTATATGAAAAGCCCACAGCTACCATTATATGCAATGGGGAAAGACTGAAAGCTTTACCTCTAAGATCAGAAAAAAAAAAGCAAGGCTGCCCACTCCAGCACTATTACTCATTGTACTGGAAGTTATAGGCAGAGAAATTAGACAAGGAAAAAAAGGCATACAAATTGTAAAAGATGAAGTAAAATTATCCTGGTTCACAGATGATATTATATTACATGTAAAAAGCTCTATAAAGATTCTACACCAAAAAAATGTTAGAACAAATGAATTCAGCAAATTTACAGGATATAAAATCAACACTCAAAAGTCAGTTGCATTGCTACACACTAATGATGACCAGACCAAAAAGGAAATTAAGAAAACAATCTCATTTACAATAGCATCAAAAAGGATAAAATACTTAGGAACAAACTTAACCAAAGAAGTTAAAGCGTTTTACACCGAAAGCTACAAGAGCAGTGCTACAAAAGCAAGCTACAAAAGCATACGAAGATAGCACAAATAAATGAAAAGACATTTCATGTTCATAGTTTGAAAGACTTAATACTGTTAATGTGCAATCTCAAGGGACCCTGAATGGCCAAAATGATCTTTTTAAAAAAAATTTTCTTGAGGTGAGAGCAATTAGATGTACTTATTCATTTATTTTTAATGGAGGTACTGGGGATTGAACCCAGAACCTAGTGCGTGCTAAGCATGTGCTCTACCATTGAGCTATACTCTCCCCATCAAAACAATCTTGAAAAAGAAGAGCAGGCTTGGAGATCGCACATTCCCAGATTTCAAAACATACTACAAAACAACAGCATAAAGACAGTTATATAGGCCAATGAATAGAGAGCCCAGAAATAAACTCCTGCACATAGGGCCAAATGATTTTCAACAAGGGTGCCGAGGTCATTCAGTGGGGAAAGGACAGTCCCTTCAACAGATGGTTTTGGGAAGACTGGATATCTACATGCAAAAGAATAAAGTTGGATTCTCACCTTACATATAATATACAAAAGTTCACTCAAAATGAATTAAAGATCTAAATTTAAGACCTGAACCCATTAGACTCCTAGAAGAACATGAAGGAAAAGCTTTAGGACACTGGACTTGACAATGACTTCTTGAACATGACACCAAAAGCACAGGGAAAAAAATCAAAATTAGAAAATGAGACTACATCACCAAAGTCAGTAACCAACAGTGAAAAGGCAACCTACAGAACAGAAGAAAATATCTGCCAGTCATGTATCTGATAAGGAGTTAATATCCAGAATATATAAGGAATTTCTACAATTCAACAATAAACACCCTGATTAAAAAGTGGGCAAAGGACTTGAACAGACATTTCTCCTAAGAAGATATACAAATAGCCAACAGGCACATGAAAAAATGCTCAATATCACAAATTATTAGGGAAATACAAATCCAGATCACAATGAGATGATCATTTCACACCCACCAGCAGGATGGTTTCTATAAGAAGAACAGAAAATAACAAGTGCTAAAGAGGATGCAGAGAAGTTGAAAGCCTTGTGCATCCATTATAGAAAACACTATGAAGGTTTCTCTACAAATTAAAAATAGAATTACCATTACCATATGATCCAGAAATTCTACTTTTGACTATATACCTAACTTAATTCAAAGCAGAATCTTGAAGAGTTATTTGTACATCTGTGTTCACTGCAGCATTATTCACATAGCCAAGAGGCGGAAGCAGCCCAAATGTCCATCAAGAGATGAACTGATAAAGAAAATATGGTATATGCATACAATGGAGTACCGTGTAGCCTCAAAAAAGGGGAAATTCTTTTATATGCTACAACATAGATTAACCTCGAGGACATTATGCTAAGCAAAATAAGCCAGTCACAAAAGGACAAATACTGTAAGATTCCTCTGGGAGGAAGTATCTCTCTTAGGTAGTCAAAATAGTAGAAAAGTATTTAGCAAGGGCTAGAGGCACTGTTAATTAGTATTTATTAGATATAGTCTCAGTGTTATATATAACATGAAAAAGTTCTAGAGATCTGTTGTACAACAATGTAAATATACTTAACACTACTGAACTGTACACTTAAAAATGATTAATTTAAGATGGCAAATTTAGTCTTACGTGTTTTTTATCACAATGACAAAAGAAAATAAAAATAAATAATCTCTTGAGACTGGGATAAAATATTTGTAAAAGACTCATTTGATAAAGCACTACTATCCAAAAATACAAAACAACAACAACCACCTCTTAAAATAACAATCTGAAAATGAACAATCTGATTAAAAAATGGACAAAAGACCTGACAGACACCTCACCAAAGAAGATATTCAAACAGCAAGTAAGCATATGAAAATATGTTCAACATCATGTCAAACAAAAATGAGAGAAAACACTTTTAACGCTATGTCATTAGGGAACTGCAAATTAAAACAAAAATGAGGTATCACTATACACCCATTAGAACGGCCAAAATCCAGAACACTGACAACAAATGCTGGCCAGGATGTGGAGCAACAGGAACTCTCATTCACTGCTGATGGGAATGCAAAATGGGTATCGACATCGGAGACAGCCTGGAAATTTGTTACAAAACTAAATATGCTCTTACCATATGATCCAGTAATCACACTCCCTAGACAATGGAATATTATTCAGTGCTAAAAAGAAGTGAGCTAGCAAGCCATGAAAAGAGAGGGAAGAAGCTTAAATAAATATCACTAAGTGAAAGAAGCCAAATCTGAAAAAGCTACATACTGTATGACTATAACTACATGCCATTATGAAAAAGGCAAAACTATGGAGACAGTTAAAAAAAGAAAAAGAAGGGTGGTGACCTGAGGTTGGAGAAAGGGAAGAAGAGGCAGAGCACAGAGGATGGTTAGGGCAGTGATACGATTCTGTATGACACTATGATGGCTGACACACTTCATTATACACATGTACAGACTCATGGAACGTCTAACACCAAGAGTGAATGTTAACCTAAACTACTGACATTGGGTGATAATCATGTGTCACTGGAGGTCCACTGATTATAACAAATACGCCACTCTGGTGGGCGATATTGATTGTGAGGAAGTTTGTACCTGTGTGGGGAAAGGGGGTATATGTGAACTCCATAATTTCTGCTCAATTTTGCTGTGGACTTAAAACTGCTCTAAAAAGTAGTTTACTATTAGTTAAAACAAAATCTGTTGAGAACAAAAAGTATTATTTGATGGGGACAAGGCTAAAATTTATCGACAGAAATCTTATTGGGTAATACTAGACAATGATTAATTTGAATAAAAAATTAAATTGCCTGAGATATTAAAAAATAACAATAGCTTGGAACTATCACACATTGCTGGTGGAATATAAAACGGCAAAGCTGCTACGGAAAACAGTTTGACAGTTCGTGAAAAAGTTAACATAGTCACCACAGGACCTAGCAAATTCTACTCCTAGGTATATACCCAAAAGAATGGAAAACAAGTATTCAAATAAAATCTTATACATGAATGTTCTCATACCACCAATATTCCTAATATCCCAAAGGTGGAAAAAACCTAAATGTCTATCACCTGATGAATGGATGACAGGTATATATAGAATAGATAAACAAGATTATACTGTGTAGCACAGGGAAATATATACAAGATCTTGTGGTAGCTCACAGTGAAAAAGAATGCAACAACGAATATATGTATGTTCATGTATAACTGAAAAATTGTGCTCTACACTGGAAATTGACACAACATTGGAAACTGACTATAACTCAATAAAAAAAAAAGTGGTATAGCCACACAAGGGAGTATTACTCAGTCGTGAAAAGAAATGCTTGCCACAACATGACTGAACCTCAAGAACCGAACAATAAAACCAGGCACAAAGGCCATATAGTGCCTGATTCCACTGATATGAAATATCTAGAACAGGTAAATCCACAGAGACAGAAAGAAGACTAGTGGTTGCCAGGGCCTGGATGAGGGAGAAATGTACTATGACTACTTAACAGCTACGGGGGTTTCCCTTTTGGGGTGGTGAAAATGTTCTGGAACTAGACAGTGTTGATGGTTGCACAGCACTGTGAATGTACGGAATGCCACTGAGTTGTACATTTTATGTGCTTTTTACTACAATTAAAAAAAAAGAATGAACTACAAAAAATTATTACCTTGATTTTTTCACTCTCTTTTCTCACTCGTTTTGCATTTTCAATAATGTAAACAGTGCTCTTGTTGACTTCATTGTCAGCTCTGTGTCTCAGCCAGTCCTCATAACCCTAGATGGATACAAATAATGACATCATCAACTCACGTAATGAAGTAAGTAAAGTTGTTAATAAATTTCTATAGCCCTCACTATGAGTCACCAGCAGATATTTATACTTACAGTATTAATTTTAACTTGGAATGCTAAAGAGACAATACTATGTTTTTACAGCAAAAACTAAGATATGCTTTCAAAATACACCTTAGGTAAATTGCTTTACTGCATTAAAAGGTTCCTCCATTCTACAGGTAATAAAGTAATAATAATAAAATAATAAAAATACAGGCATTAAATTACAAACAATATTCTTCAACTGTGAAGGACTATGATTTATTTTTCTAAGTCTACTCTTATTCAAGTTAATGTTAATTTTCTCTGCTTTTTAATAATTTGAAAAAAACACTTTTCTAGGTTTTATTTTCTTATAGACCAAAACCCTTAAATATATTCTTCCATAGTAGACTGTTGGAGTGATCATCTCTAAGGGAATGTAATTCCTCCCCAGGGAGAGAGAATAGAAAAGGCAAGTTAGGAGTACTCTGGCCCAGAACCTATGATCAACAGTTAAATTTCTCCATTGGCTTGGTGACAAAAGAAAATATCCATCAGCATTCATTTTTCAGAGTTAAAAGTAATCAGGGCTCATTTTTCTCTGGGCTTTTCTTTGGTCTAGAGTAAATTTAAGCCAAAAGAACAAAGGACGGAGGATGTTCTTTTGTTTGAGCATGACCTCCTTTCTTTTTTACATCACTTTGCTTTCTTTCTTTATAATAATGTTTACACCTTTTCAAATACAACTGTTTGAAAAAATCTCTTGATTGCCTTCTCTCTTTTTCTCAGGTGCTATATATTCAGTCTTTTCTGTCCTTTATGACAATGCTAGGCAATCACTTCATATGGTACTTTCTGTGATGTGACTGAGGAAAGAAAGGCCCTAACACGAACTAGTATTGGGAGTAAAATGAACCACTAAGAGCTTTGGAAAACCATACAGGTTATTCTTGGAATCAGCAATTTTATGATGCTAAAGGAAATAATCCTAAAGGAAGTTAACATTTCAAAAGTCTTTATTTAGCAACCAAACACTTGATAAAATATTCCTGCAGTTGCTGGTAGGCAAGATAGAAGACCAGATAACCCCAAGAAGAAAGGTAACCATGTTCCCAATACTGCTAAGCAAACTTTCATTTTGGAAGTTCCTTGGAACACTTTTTAAAGTACTTTGATAAGTATGGTCTAAAAATACGTTTGTCATTTGCCAGGTCCTGTGGGCTCTCCCAGTACATGATAAACATGTCTAACCCACCCCTTCACCTCCAGTTTCCTGTTTCCATTTCTAATATTTTTTTTGGTGAGGGAGGTAATTATGTTTATTTATTTTTAGAGGAGGTACTGGGGATTGAACCCAGGACCTTGTGTAAGCTAAACATGCGCTCTACCACTGAGCTATACCCTCCCCCCTCCATTTCCAATTTCATCTGGAAGTTTTCAAAGGCACTCTCATCAACCCTGGCAGTTATCAGCTTTGACAAGAAACAAGAATCAAGTCTCCTCCACCCACCACACCCTTCAGCAGCACCAGGAAAGTCAACAAAATTAAAGTATTTACACTCTTGAGTTCTCTGTTATAGGCAACAGTAAAGAAAGTCCGCTATAATGGGAATTTTTCAGACAGACACAGCATGCTGAAAAATATAATGCATGTCAAAAATTCACTTCCCATTTCCCTACTGAGCTGTACCTTCCAACTACTCTTCTTTTAGGGTTGTATCCCAGACACGAATATTGAGGAGGAAAGGAGCAAAGAAATTAAAGATATACCTTACAATCATTTTAATAGGTTTTCAATGAGAACCAAATCTAAATTAAATCCATCAAGGACACTGACTCTAAACAAATATGAAAAAAGAGCCTTGACAATGAAATTCAAACAAGACAGGACTGAAATGCAAGCATAACTGTAAATTAGAAACTGGATTAGAAATTTACCTGTTTGATGGCTGTAACAGTTATAACAAAGAAAAGTGGAAGTCCACTGGTAACTGGGCTAGTTGGTGTGTCTACTGTGACCTAGGTAAAGAAATTAAATTGAAAGTGAAATGAAAATAAGCCACTAACTCAGATGCAGCACTTACATGCTGCAAACATTTCAGACAGAAATGCAGACAAAACATGCTCCAGTAGCAGAGTGAATGTTAACGTTCATTAAAACAAAAGTAATCCACATAGAAGTTAAAGAAAATAGTTCTAAATTTAGGCTTAGTTTTCATCCCAGCTTGGATTAACTGAAACATAGCCATTCATTTACCATCTATTTGTTGAGTACCAGTCTGTCAGCCTTTGTGCTGTTATGAGCCAGGCTCTTAAGAGATGCTGCTTTATTTTAAGCAAGATGGAGAAAAGTCCTTGCCCTCATATAGCTGGCAGCTTACAATAAAAACCAGATACTAAAATGAGTGAGACGCTGAGATGTGAAGAGTAAATAGAAGTTAACTAGTTGGGAGGGAAGGGTTTCCAGGCCCAGTGAATAGTGTATACAGAGTCTCTGTGGTAGGAGGGAGTGTGGCACCTGTAAGGAAATAAAGGAGGCCCAGGGCAAGACAGAGTGTGGTGGAGACAGGGCAGGAGAGGGAGACAGGGGCCAGACCAAGCAGGGCTCTCCAGGCTAAAGTTCAGTCTTTGTCCCACAAACAGTGGGAAATAATTGAAGGTTTTATGCAGGGAGAGGTCATGTGAACAGAACCACATGCCTTATGGAAAAAGAAATGGAAGGGAACAAAAGTGGAGCTAGGCAGTCCATTGAAGAGGCTACTGCAGGAATCCAGGCAAAAGATGATGGATTAGACAAGGGTGGTAGCAGCAGATATAGAAATAAGTTCCAGAGATATTTAAGAGGTAAAAATGGCAGGGCTGGTAAGGAATTTCTCATAAGGGGTGATTAGAGATGTCTTCCAAGTATCTGATTAACATGGTGTAGGTGGTATTGTCATTCACTGAAACAGGAAATCCTGAAAGAGAATCAGATTTGAGGGAGAGAGGATCATGAGTTCAATCTGCTTTTCCACGGCTCTGTGCCTTCTTGCACAGCCTGAGATACCAATCTGGATTCTTTACCAGGTAAACTCCCTCTCAGCCTTCAAGGCTCCGCTCAGAAGTCACCTACTCTTTGAAGCCTTCTCAGGCTTCTCTTGGGTAGAAAACAATCTTAACTTCCACTGTATCCCCACAGCATTTTGCTCATGCTAATTTTATGACTTTCACATTAAATTAAGTGAATACGTGTCTTAGCCATGACAATAAATTCCTTAAGGGTAGAAAAGCCATACTTCAATCCTTATTGTATGTGCTGAAATCTTTGGTGTCTGGACCACTGCGCAGCACACAGTAGGTGCTTGCCAAACTGAACTGAAATGTGCTATATGCCAAGTAGACTGCCTCTTGTGACCATAATCCTCCACATAGTTTATTTTGTGCTGCTCTGTAAGACATTTTACCATCGATCTAGGAGTTCCTTTTCAAATGCCCCATCATTCAAGATCAAAATTGGCTCTTTCCCATATCACAACCCAGACTGATTTGAAGCTGCAGGCCTAATTCAATTACAGTACCATTTACTCAAAGCCTCAAAGTGGATAAACAGAAGCACTTAACATCAACAAGGCATTTGAGCAATTTTATGGGGATGTTTCTGCTTTATTTAATAAAATGAAATGAGGAAAAAAGTACCTCCTTTAATGTAGTAAAACTTTCAGGGGGTAATTTTGGCAAGCGAAAGATTTTAACAGACTTAAGGATGGAAGATGCAATTTAAAATGTCTAAAATTTAAAACATAAAACACCGGTAGAGAATACAGAGAAGCAGATCAATGTACCAGGATTTCATCCTTGAAGTAAATGAATGAGGAAGAGCAAAACTTGTCATCAGGAAGGTAAGTGATCAATTTCTAATTAAACTGAAACTGGCGTTTAACAAAGTAAAACTCTTAATTTGAACTATTTCCAGTTTCAATATACACCACTGTATTTAACAATACTTGCTCTTCTAGGATGAATAAAGACATATGAAATCCATGAAAGTGTTTAAAAAAGTAAAGAAGTCTCAATAAGTTTTCTAGTAAAACTGCTACTTTAGAAATATATAAAATTATATATATCTTAAAATGTAATGTTAGTACTCAAGTAAACTGGACTCTAATAAATTCTGAAACAACTTTTTAACCACAGGGCATTTTAAGGTTAGATATGGATTGAAAATTTATTTGAAGTAATTCAGTTTCTAATATTGCTCTTACCTGTACAAGGAAAATGATGAGAAAATAAAAATTTGCAATTCTTCTAAACTGTTCAAATAGATTCTTTGGGAGGAAATTCCAAAGTGTATACTGTAAGGGAGGAAGAAAAAAAAGATTATTAGAAAAGAAACTTGAAAAATCCTAATGATAATGACTCGTGATTCCAGAGTATCACAATACTTTGAAAGCATGTTAAAACTCAAATCTCAGACATACGAATAAGCGCACATTTAGAGGGACAGAATACAAACGCTTTTTTCAGGAGTGAAGTTTCGCTTGGAGCATTGCAACTGAGCCATCTAGTCCCACAGCTTTGCTTTCCTCGATCTGATCTAATCAGGTTCCTCGTTCCATGCTCTCCTATCTGTCTGTACTTCCCCGATAACACTCGTTGCAGTGAATCATTTTACATGTGTACTTTTCATTAAAGTTTTCCCCTCAATAGGCAATGAGTTCTATAAGGGCAGGCTGTTCATCTGTCTTTTTACTACTTTCCCCAACATCTAGCACAGTGTCTGACAGAAAGTAGACAATAAATTTGTTGGATGAATGAATGAACAAATTAATTCCTTTGGCTCAGCTGACCTCTGGAGTCTTGATCATCATCACGGATGTAACTCTGTCCCTCTCACTACCTCCCACCTCCGTGACAGCTGGTCACACACAACCCTGGGTCACAGAGGGCTTTCATTTTAGTCAGCAACATACCACTCTGGGCTTTGGTAACTGGTAATAAAATAGGTAAAGGTTTCAATGCTAAATTGTACGTGGGCAGGAGGAGAGAACTTTTGGGCCAATTGTCAAATCACACAGACTTTCTCACTGATGCCTTAAGCACAAAGCCTGGGTCATTTAAAAATCAACAGAGGAAGTTGGATTTTCTAGGTGTCTCAATAAGGAAGATCAGAAACCAGAAAGAAAGAAATGTTTCTTAACCTAAAGATCTACATTTATATTTGAACAGTCTCTAGTCTCCGTATGTGAGAAGATGTCCATTAAATCAGGTAAGGAAAAGTCAAAGTTGCAGAGCATGACACAATATACGGGAATTTGCTACTAAAATCTCTTTAAAAGGCTGTAGGCTCAAGGTTCAGAGAACCCCAAGAAGACGAAGATGAACGGAGGCAAACATATTCAGTAAAGCAGATGCATTACAGCCAACGACGAACCAAGAAGGTTCTTCCTCCAGGGCTCATAGAAGTGCCCCAGGGAAGCCCATTCAAAATGAAGTACAGAATTGGGTGTGGGTGTGCACCACTTGGGAGAAGAGAGTCCACAGTTTTCAGAGTCCCACCAAAAATAAAAAGGATCAAAACCACTGATCCAGTCACTTCGAAGCTGCCTTAGTTCAGATCAGCACTTAACTGTCCCAATAACTGAAGGTCAAGTTTCTAAAAGAACAAGCTCAACTCTTAACAACAGGCTAACAGCTGAGCTTCCGGCTTGTTGACCTTCTGTTCCCTGAGTAGAGGGGTTTTAATTAAACAAACAAGCATTAGGGACTGTTAGAGTCCTCTGTGGGGTGTTAACACATCAAAAGGGAACATTTCTGTTGCTGTTTCTAGGCCCCCACTGTTTGTTTACCACAGTTTTCACTTACAAAATGAACTGCTTCCTTGAGGAACTCGGGTTATTCTCTCTGTAAGAAACTGTTGCTATGTGTGCCCTCTCCTCTCCTGTGTCAAGTCGAGCTATTAAGAGGTCAGGGAGCATAAGTTCCCTTCCCACGGGTGCCTAGAACAGTGTCCGGCATGTAGAAGGCATACAAGAAATTTTGATTACAATTTGTTTGTTGGCCATTTTTTCCTTCACTGCTCTAACTAAAAAGTAAATTAAACTTTTCATCTCATTATAATACAAATGTAACACAGCATACATTATTTCAATGCAGACCAAGAGAAGCCAACTTTTTTCGAATTTTATGACTAAAACAGAAATTGAATTAAAGCCATATACACCAAGTTATTTAAATTGACTTGTCTACCTAAAAAGTGGACTCTCAGACATACTCTCAGAGTTACTCTTAACTCATAGGAAGAAGATACAGACAGCATTTGTTTCATATACAATGATGAAAATGGAGTTTTTTTGTGGGTCATTGGTCAATTCTTGCTCAGAGTAGTCAATAAGTGGATCTTGTATACTATCTTAACATGCAACCATTAACTTAAAAAGCAAACTTCACAGTTAGAACATTTTTAAACAGTTTCTATAGGAAAATGCCAAGTATATGCAATGCATTTTTCATCTGCCCTATAGTGAATTAAATAATTGGTACACAAATGTGGAAAAATTAAGGGTCATGCCTCACACATCTATTACCTAATGAAAGTTGAAGTCAAAATCTTATAACTTTGATAAACTACTTTCCTAATTCAAAGGAGAGAATCTCAGTTGAAACTGAAAAATTTAAACAAAAGGAGGCTTTGGAACATTAATTGTTTTTACCTAAAGTCCCCAAATATTCCAATTTAGCCTTAAAAATGCTGGTGAGTAAGATGAAACTCCAAATAACTTGTTCTCAGTGTGTTTGGATATCAAGAGAAAAGGGGGAACAGCTAAAAAATGAAGTAGTAATTATTTAAAGTAACAAAGTTAACGGTCAATTGTGAATGAGCTAGCAGGAGCATTGACTTCTAACTAACTAGTAGGATCTGGATGTGATGGAACAAAACAACTATACTTTCAGATTAGTTGTAAATAAGCACCCAGTTGTAAATAAGCAGAGCTCTAGCTTGAATAAACTGTTCACTTTGCTAAATTACTGTATTCATTTTATTCTCAACTCTCCTTGATGTAGCATTAAATCTAATTTCGAGCATCATAGGACTCTACTTTTCATTTTCATTACCAATGTCAAGCAGAACTTTCTCTTTTTCTCAAAGTATCACTCTTTCTCCTATAAATTCAGGACAGCAACAGGAGTTCCCAAGACATTACTGCATCAACGTGGATTTAGTAACTTTAGCTAAATAAGGCACCTTCAAGGAATTCCATAAGACGCAAAGACAGTCTATAAATTCTACTGATGGTTCTGATTTTTTAAATGAGGGAAAACGCTGTGTAGTTTTAGGCTTGAGACTTTAATCTATGACATTGTTTCACATTGGAGCACTAAGTTTAACCTTGGGCATAGCTTCAAAGAGTTAGGTGGAGCTCACTGATTCTTATCCCACTGAATGGCCTTCAAAATGAGGCCTGGGATTTTTAAAGGAAAAAAATGTAGAACAGAGAAATATGATGAAAGTTAAAGATTCTAAAGATCTGGCAGGATGCGATCAATGCTCCTTTTGCTACTGAAGGGGATTTCCAGTTTTGTACCAGCTGCAAAATTCTGGTGATTCCCCAGGGTCCCTGCAGGGTGCGCTAGAGTAGGAAGGCCACGGAGAACAAGTTTTTCTAAAGAAAGGATGTGTGTTCCCAAAAGAAGAGAAGAATGCTAATTTTATAAGTAAATAAAACTTAGAATAGGTCAAAGTGCTTATCTTCAGTGTTCCCTGCATTAACAAGACTTATTCCCAGTGTTACACTGACCTTAGTGATGGCATTTGTAAATAAGCAAACGAAAAGCACCCAATTCAGAGAAAGTCATTTTTATCACTGAATGGTTGAAAAAGGAAATCAACACTTGCTACAAAGTTCGAAGGCAGCTAACATATTCAAGAAATTGTACATTTCTTCAATTAAAAGATTCTGGTGCAAAAACAATCAGCCAAACGGCAATGTGAAGAAGAGAAAGTCAAATTATGAAACTTTTTTCCCTCTCCAGACTGGACCAGAAGTTCTCCTTTTAAGAGAGGTGATGTCACTCCACACATCCGGAACACACGCGACTGAGGAAATCAGTAGTACTGTCCAGCACTGTGGGCACTCTGGTGTGCAGGACTCATCACAAAAACATAAATAATAGTAGCAGCTACCATCTCTCGAGTTGTTACTACATGCCGAGCACAGTGCCTAAATGCTTTCTGTGGATTACTTTATTTCGACCTCATCACAATCCTATGAGGTAAGTACTGTCAATATCCCCATTTTACGGATGGGGAAAAGAAAGAAAACTGGGGCACAGGAAGGTTAAATGACTTACTTTAACTTCAAACCCAGGTCTTCTGTCTATAAGGATGAAGCTCTTTACAACTACACTATATGCTATCCTCTTATAACTACTCACTGTATTCAGATTTCATTCTTTTTGTGAAGTTAGTATACTGTCAATTCCTCTTTCTCTGCTCTAGAGCTTTTATGAAAAATAGATCAGTTAATAAGAAGTTAACTAGACAAACTATAAATATATAATATTTGCAGAGAAAAAAAGATGTGGTAGTCTATCAGTGTAGAAATGTTCACTTCTTTATTCTGGTTTCTAAAACATATACATATATATTGTATAAGCAAATCTGTTTAGAAACAATTTTTATTTGCTCATGAACTACTGACTACTTAAACAAATATATCCTATTGCATTGTTTTGTCTACTGGCAAAAGTGGAGCTAGATAAAATATGAAAAATAGTTTATTAAATACTAGTTAGTAAGAGGGTACTCTTACATGTTCTTTTAAAATGTAAAAATGCAAGGTTTATTGCAATAAATTGATTATCACTAGTTCAATGAAAAGTCACTTCACAATCAGTGTGTCACTTTACCATCTTCCACATAAAACACTACGGGAAACAATAATTCCCTAGAAAGTACTTTAAATTTACTTGATGCGAAAGGAGAGAGAAAACTGATGGGGGAACCAAACAGCACAAGGATGTGAAAATGGCTCTTTATTCAGGGGCACTAGACCTTATAAAGTGGTTCTGCTCCTGGCTTTATGACTAACCCTGCTTGGTGACCATGTCACTAACTTAATTTCTCTGGGTTTGCTTTCTCCATCTGGGAAGTCAGCAAGTTGAACAAGGAGACCTTAGGATGTTTCAGTTCTACAAGTCTATGATCCTGAGTCTAAGGACTACTATTGATTGTTTTCTTAGACTCTACAGGGTGGGTCACAATTTTGAGTAAAAGGATTATTCACTATTTTGGGCACAGGTACGGAAACTTCTAGCTGAGGATAAAATTTTGGCCATAAGGTTAAAGATTAACAGGAAACTTTTTATCCAAATACACTCAGAGTGTTCTTTAGGTCAACAGACCTGCTCATTAAGGCAACACAGTTTTCACTCATTCCATCCTTGGCCCACTTTTTACACGGTAATCTCCTGGCTAAGCATAACCTGTGCTACATCACTACCCAAAGAGAACTCACATGTTCGTTTGTAAACCAAAATGTTACATTTGTAAAGGAAGGGTATAATGTTGTGTTTCAGGTCCTCGGTGTTTGTCAACATGTAGTGAACCAGTTATCACCAACATTTTAGATCTGCCTTGCCAGGCTGCACGAGGAAGTGAGAAAAATGATGAAGATCTGTGCCGCACTCCAGGAGCTGGCAGTGGGCCAGTCACCTAGCACCGAGCACCTCACCTGGTCTGCCGAAGGTAGAGATTAGCAAACTAATACATGTAGAATGATGACTTGTGGGTACTGGGAACTACAAAGAAGGTTTTCACATATGGAACATCAGCACCATTTCACTGGTGAGGACATTCAGACTGAGAGATTAGTCTGGCCAAAGTCACACAGCTAGTAAATGGCCAGGTCAGGATTTAAATACAGGTCTTCAGACTTTCAGGCCACTCCTCTTAGTACTGCACAACGCTAAAGTAAGATGATTAGTCAAATGGTGACACAGCTACAGTGACTGAACCCTTGACTGTTCAGTGTACAGAACAGAACGTACCCTTTAGGACCCAGGCGTGTATTTGAGAAGCGCTGCCGTGGAAAAGAAAGAGATACGAATGTCATTTGAAGATAATACCTTGCAAAGAATGTCAATTATTTACAAGCTGGTCTATCCACTTAAGGACAATTCAGGAAGCTTTGGGCAAGTAAATAATTCCTACTTTCAGCATACTTTAAGACCTAAAGTAATATATATAATCAACAGGCATTGTGAATCATAATGGAAGGCAAAGACATGTAAATAATCTTTCAGATATCACAAGGCAAAGTGATGCTTTAAAAAAAATTGCCTTTTGGTGGAATAATTACCACAGTTGGTCTACGGTTGGTATATGTGCACATCCAGGTATGCATATATACCTGCACCAGCTTCCACAGAAACATAAACAAAAGTAAGTGGCTCACTATATGAACATCTACTGAGTTAAAAAACCAACTTACCTTAGATGAGACTATTCTATTATCACAAAATTTTTGTGGAATGTAAGCTTCTGTTTCTGGAAATGGACGATGGCCAACGAATACTGTGCGTGTACCAACTCGTTTCTCTTCTCCAGCACACTGACCAAGAGAAAGAGGAAAAAAATCAGTTTTTCATCACATTTCTCCATGCTTCTACCAAGCTCAGAATTCTTGTCTAAGCATGTTTGGCTATTGTCTAGAGAGAGTAGCAGGGAGAGGAGAAAACCTTGTTAGGAAATTCAAACTCCACTAAGCTCTTAGTTGCTGACTTAGTGAAGATTACTAGCAGAAGTTTTGCTTGAGCCGACTGTCCTCAGGTTATCACTGCAATTCTAAAATGTTTAAACTTGAAGTAAGTATCTTAGAGAAACAGCATTTTTACTGCCAGTCATTTTTCTTTCATCCACAGAATCTCAAACATCACCATCACAGCAACACACCAATTTAGGAAAGGTCAGACTAGGAATATTTTATTTATTACACAACAACTATTGAGGACAACCATGTCAATTTCCTTACCAGACAATAGAAAGCAGAATGCAAATTTCTTCTAAATACAAAATGACTGCTTATAAATAGATAGGAGCAGAATGGTTGCCACTATTAGTGGAATGATCAATTATTTCAACACAGGAAAGTTGTAATTCTTTGGCTTTTCAGGTAAGACATGTCTTTGCGACCTCTCAGAGCCAACTGTTAAAAAGTCCCATTTCACACAATGTAGCTCTAATGCCCCTTTTATATTTTTTAAAAGTACATTCACTGAATCGAGAAGTTCCAAGGTTGAGCTCCATTTTTATCTCACCCTTTATTTCACTGAGGCTTCACTCTATTTTGTAATTTTAAATCAGGATCATATATTTTCTTATATAAATTTAGAATAGCTTCCTTTGGTGATACTACATTATTATGTTTGAGACAACCATTTATTTAAGTCAAAGCAAGTATGATAGAAACCAATATACATTTATATATTTCCATTACTATTTTTTAAAAAAGATAATTATAATTCCTCAATCTATAATGTTTTTAAGTATGCACTCACAAAGATTTCCCTTCCTTTCAATGATCTATTTAAAAGTCAAAGATATAACTCTCTATCCCCCAGTCACTTTAAACAAGATTACTTAAGGGTTGCAAAGTTCTCCAAATGTCTATGCTTGGATGTATTCCACTCTGAATTTTTGTACCTCAAACAGATACAAGGAAAATAAATTTTCAGATTAAAAAAACAAAAATTACCCTAAAGTACAGAAAACCTCTTGCCTCACCATTTTCATTTAAGCTTATTAAATAATTACCTAGTGGGGTATTTCCTCCAAAATCTATAGAGAATCAATCAAAAAGTAATTGAGATAAAGAGAAGTAGGAGAGATTTAGGCTGTATATAAAGGGTAGCTTCTGGAAATCTACCCTGGCATAGTCTAAGGGAGCTTATAGGAATTCAATCTATGGCAATCTGGAAAAAGTCAATACATATCCGTGTTGGACAACTTAGCTATTTACCTGCCTGCCCCAAGACAAGGCATTAAAACAACTGATTGTACAAGGCCCTTCGCTTGCTAAGGGTCAGTGATTAAGAGAGAAATTTTCAGTTCCTGGAAATCAGTTAACAGTATCTTTACCAGGTTGGTAAAGATAAACTATATACAGTTTTGATTCAGAGATTGACTTTGTTTGCAACTATAATATACAGGGTCTGAAACAGCTTACTGATAAGAGCACTAAATTTTCTATAATAACCGTTTTGCAAAAAGTGAATTCACCTGCTTGAAAGTATAGTTCATTTCGCTTTGCCCCTACCCTGGTCTACTGCAAGTTACTGGCTCACTGTAGTCTCTACAATAGACCTGAACCTAATAATGCACCAATATGAAGTACAGAAATTGTCAAGTCTGTATACACACTACAATTTAAAGCCTTTAATTTAATATGCATATGGTTGTTTAGTTTTTCACACAAGCAAGATGTGGCTATAGAGCTATCTTTTCATGCCAGTTCTCAGATCATTCAACAAATGGAGATGGGGAAGAGAAAAAGGAAAAGAGGTAGAGGGCCAGAGAAGCAGGCCGTTTCCCACATTGCCATTCTAGATTATTCCCCTCAGTTAACAGTGGCCACTGATTAACTGAAGACAAAACTCAACTAGTACTTCCCCAGTTCTGAATTGCCTCCAACTTCTTCTATGGCAGATAATGGCATTCCAAAGAACAAAAGCAAGGAACAAGCATAATACAGGTTTTCAGGCACACGGTATTTTTCCGAATTCCCTGCATTTGCATAGCACTTACAATTTTACTAAGAGCCCTCCCCATACATTATCTCTTTCTGATCCCTTTCGAGTCAGGCCTAAATGACCTCGATCTCCATTAAACTGGAGAAAATGGACTGAAACTGCTGTGCAGGTTTGGGGTGGGGAGCTGTAGAGGAGGGAGGATCTTGGCAGTGATCACCATTAGATGATGAAATAGGGGCCCGAGAAAAGTTGTAGAATGTCCACTCCTGGGGATTTTTCAAAAAAGGGCAAAGTCTCTTCAGCCCAGGAAGGTTTGGGTATGGAGCTGCCTGAGGACTGGTGCTGGGGTCCAGTGAAATAGATGACTTTTCCATGCCTGTTTCACCCTAAAAGCTGATGAACTCGCAATTTCTGGTGGAATTTGCTGCACCTGTATAACGCTGTTTGGTTCGCATAAAAATGGTAAAGCTGAACTCATGTAAATTCACTGTAATTTTCCACTTGCTGACAATGTAGAGTGTTAAAACAGTGGTTTTAGTTCCTGTGTTTTTGAATAATGTAGGTGCTTTAGCCAAGGGAGAGAAATTCCAAGTAGGAATTATAAAAAAAAAAATTCCATCTGGATGGTACACAATGTAGTCTGGGGTAAGAGTGTATGATTCTTGCCACCTCCTAATTAATTTTAAGTCATTAGGAGTCCATCCTGTGTTGAAGTGCTTCCCATGCAAATGTCCCTAGGGACAGCATTTATTAAAATTGAAATGTGCTGACACCAATCCTATTTTAATGTTATCATATACTATAATAAAAAGTATGGAAATATATTAAAGAGTTTTATAATATATGAGCAGAGAAATCATTTTAATGTTCTTCTTCAAGATAAAAATTACCCTTTTGTACTCTTGATTTATACACCTCTGTAGTATAAACTGAATGCTGTGTTAAAAAAAAGTAATTTATACCAAAACAGTCTCTCAATAAAAACCAGAATAAAATGGTACTGTTATTCAATTACTACCATCTTAAAATCCTATGCCTTTGCCAGTCATAAACACAGAAAGCTGCTGGAAATATAATTTGTTTCTTGATTGCTTCTAGACCAGTGACTGAATAAGAACTGAGAGAAAATAGAGACCTCAATACAAGACTGTCATTATAAAAGCTGGCAGAGGCTCTGAAACGGAGCTCACCCTTCCATCCGTTCCAGGTGTTGGCAGACTTAAATTTATCACTTAGTCATAGATCAGTGGTTCTTAATTCTGGTCACACATTGGCTTTAAACATAATACCAGTGCCCGGGTCTTTTGTTTAATATTTAATTTAATTTTTCTAGAAGCTCCCCAGGTGACAATTCTAATTTAGAGCCAGGGCTGAGAATTACTGCTACAGAATCTCTCTTTGAATTAATGATTCCTCTTATCCTACAAGTTCTTAGTATGCCAGCCATAATCCTACACTTTAAAAGTAATTAAAATAATTTAAATAACTTGCTTTTCAAAGGATAAAAATACAAATAACCATCAAATAGCAACCCCTTCAACCATTTTAAGCTGCTCACAAAATGAGATTCTCCTTCAACATTTATTCTGCATGTGGCTAATCCGCTTCAATTATTCAGATCATTGATAATGAAAACTACAGGCCCTGCAAACATGCAAAGCTGCTCGGGTTATCAGTAAATAATCACCAATGTCATCTCCAACAACCACAGCATCACTTTTATTGATTATCAGACTGTTCTCTCTGTGTTACTAAAGCAAATAAGAGGACAGTTGGCCCTCATTACCGGTGGGTTCCACATCTTTGATTCAAGCAACTTCAGGCTGAAAATACTGGGGGGTGGGGTGGGTGGAGGGAGTTTCCAGAAATGCCAAAAAGCAAAATTTGAATTTGTCATGCACTCAAAAACTACTTGCATAGCATTTACATTGTACTAGGTATTATAAACAATCTAGAGACGATTTAAAGTGTAAGTGAGGATGTGCACAGGTTATATGTAAATACTACATAGTTTTATACAAGGGACTTGAACATCTGCAGAGGATCCTAAAACCAATCCCCCACAGATATGGAGGGATGATTTGATGTGCTCAAAAATAAACCAAAAATCCTTATTAATAATCTGAAAACTTGGCAATGATTTAAAGCTATCCTCCACTTCCCAGCCCCAAAGCCATTTTCCTCTCTGAAGCCGTAGTATTTTTGAACAGTATAATCAGTCTTTAAAAGGCCAAAGTCAAAAATGAAAGAAAGAGCATTTTACCAAAATTTCTGCACTCCTGTACTAGGGTGGAAGGCAGAGTGCCGGGAGGAGGGCATCACAGTCCAGTCTCCGGTATATTAAGCTTCCTGGTTAGAGTTGCTACAATGTATTCAGCGGTCAAATTGGTGAGGTTTCCAAGCCCATCCCGTTTTAAGAAGCCAAGAAGAATAATCTTCATATGCAATTTATAGTCGTAACTCTACAATAAGCCTAAAAAATTGCACTTTCCAGATTTTACTTTACCTGTATCTTCTTAAGGGATCAAGCTGTCTCCTTTGTCAGAGGTAGTAAAGCAAGACTGAGACAGGGCATTTTGTCTTCTTGCCTTTAAAGCTTATTTATGGTTATATCAACCAAAACTCTCAAACATCCGATCAAAAGACAACTAAATATCCAAAGTACATCCCTAGACACAAAGCAGGCATTATCTAATGGTAGCACATTTAATTGAAAAGAAACTTCTATAGGAAATGGATATTAAGCACCACAAAAACACCTAAATCAGCAAGCACTATGCTTAGGAAAAAGCAGTGACTATAAGAACTTGGGTAAGAACAATGCCTTGTTTGGAAGCTCAGGGTTAGCTTAGACTTGCATTAT